ATTCATGTTCTACTAATATTAAGTTAGTAGTACCACAGTTTTATATGAAAGTCTGCTTTTAATTTCAGCAATACAACGTATTATTTACTTAAGCAAAAGAGTAAATCTATTCACATAAAAACAAAACAAAAAGCAACAAGAAAACTCAACAGATATTTCACGATTAGAGCTCTAAAGGGTATCCCTGATCCTCAACAATTCCATAAAGGTCCAATTGTGCGTCCTTTGATGAAAAGCATTCATGAAGGTTTATCTGCCACAGCCTCTAACTGAGGATCTTAACTGCTCTAAGATAACCATGTACTTACTGGTCATCAACTGCCAATCCTTGGGACAGCATTTAAAGAAGTCTACTTCTAATATTGTGGATCCCCTAAATACTAACTTCTGTGTTAAGACTGAACTACCTTTGCTCCAAGAGAGTAAAATACAAATACTCCCTGGACCTGCTGTATGCAAACTGCAATAGACAAATAATTTTAAAGTAGACTTAACAGCTAAAAAGTGAAAACTCCAAAAATGAAGTAATACCTACCCCAATTTTATCAAAATATAAAACCAGCCTTGACATTGGAACACACAAAAACATCTTTTAAGAGGCAAAGAAGAAATCCAGACATACTACTTTGGATTCCTGGAACAAACTTTAACTGTTCCAAATGGGCCCCTAAAAGTCACTTAACCCTTTACCTTTTTCTAGAAGTAAAAAAATTTCAATTTGGTCTGAAAAGAAAGAGCATTTTGAGAAGACTTTTTTTAAAAAAAGATCAATATTCGTGTGAGACAGAAAATGTTTAAACTGCAAAATGACTGTGTAATATTAACTGAAAAAAATGTACCCAACACCATGTAACAACCATTTCTAAAGAGTCACTTGCCTCATAATAATTCCTGGCTAGTCCTAGAATGCCTTTCTGTCCTATTTTTTTTTTTGAAGACTTTCCGCCTATAGATTCTCCTCTCTGTGTATACAGCTATATTTTCTTTTAAAGGTCCCATGATTCCTAAGTCTATGTCTCATATTATGTTTACTGATATTATAAAGGCTGCTGGGGAGAAAAATACCCGCCATCTCCTTAAAAACACGAAGAGCGGAGGGCTGAGATCGGCCTGAGGACTTCAAAAGGTTTTGCTTGTCTTTGTTCTGGCTATACTCTCTCCTAATACTGCTCTGTCCTGTGGGTTAAATTTCCCCTGAGTTTTGGGCTAAAATGTGGGTACCACAGCCAACACCACTTGCAAGCATCACTCCCTGACCTGGCAGCTCTGGCTACTAAGTGGCAAGCATCTAATGCCACCCTCACCTGATGCTTGGCCGTCTCCATACCCTCCAGAACTGTCGTCTTGAAGTCCTCCTGCTTGCCCTGTGGAAGGAAAGAGGAGAACTCAGGGACCTTACTCCATAAATTGAGATAATATCTGGACATAAAGGCCTAATAGTTGGCGACTCACGAATTCACCAGCAACTAGTGAACCCATATTCAGAGAGCTCCTTCTTGTGGAATCAAGGCCCAGGGAAGCACATCATAGTCTTCAAAATTCTGGTCAGGAAATTTTCAACTTTACATGCTGATTCTTGTTGAAAGGCAGCAAAACAAAGTACATAGTATTTCTAATTGCTAAATCTTTGCTGTCAGTCTCATTTAATAGTCATGGTTGGATAGGGGGGAAAAGGGATTCCAAATGTCTTTTATTAGTTGTTGTTAGACTGAGAATGGGTGTGACATGGGCTCTAGGATCTGGAGTTTCAACAATTCAACATCTGCTCAATAATCTCTCTAACTTTACCTATCTAAAAAGTATATAAGACAACAAGCAAAAGACTTATAATTTTAATGAAAAATTCTCCCCTTGACTTCAGAGCAGGGACTATATAACAATTCAGTTCCAAAGAAGTTTTATTTACTATACATTCTAGACAGTGCTAGAGCTGAATATGCCAGCGCTTTCTTAGTAAAACTTGAACATACACTATAAGATGACCTGCAGTCATATGCCAAGTACACACATATGGGGGGAGAAGGGGGGGGCACAGCAGGCAAGATCTTGGCAGAGCTTCTACCTGAAGCTACACAATAAGCCTGCGCAGAAAATTTCCTCATTGATTAATGTGTAGAAGTAACTTCAAGAAAAGTATCACAACTTGAAAGTTCAATCTGAGAAAGGCAGGATATATCATCTTCCAGGCTCTTCCAAAATCAATCACCAAGACAAACGCTATGATCCTCTTAAACCCCTAGCCA